ATGTTAGGAGGATCAAGTCAGATCCTCCAGTGCTTTTCCTGCTTATTTCAATAGTAACAATATTGACTTTTTAAAAAAAAAAATTATTTATTTGTGTGTTTGTGGGGGGGGGCATCTCAGCCCACCAGGGGGCGGGGCTGGCTGGCATGTGGTGCTGGGGGATTGAACCGTGGTCCGTGTGCTTTGCTAAGCTTATTCTAAGTAGGTGCTTTAGACCACTGAACCATCTCACCAGCCCCCTGAATCTGTCTTTGAATCTGTCACCCTCGAGTGAAGTTTTACCATTAATCTCTAAACTGATTCATTCACTCTTTAAGTAACTCATGATGGGGCTGGGGAGATAACTCCATGGTCTTAAGCGCCTGCCTGGCAAGCACTAGGACCCGGGTTTGATCCCTGGTATCATGCTCTGCCAGCGCCAGAACCCTGGGTGTGCCATGCCGGCCACCGAAATTGGGCACAGTGATGCATGCCTGTAATCCTAGCACTGGGGAGGCTGAGACAGGAGGATCACTATCAGTCCAAGCTGCATAGTGAGACCCTGTATCAAATAAATAAAGACAGGGGCTGGTGAGATGGCTCAGTGGTCTAAAGCACCTACTTAGAACAAGCTCAGCAAAGCACAGGGACTGAGGTTCAATCCCCCAGCACCACATGCCAGCCAGCCCCGCCCCCTGGTGGGCTGAGCTGGCCACACACACACACACACACACACACACATAAATAAATAAATAAATAATTTAATAAATAAATAAAGACAAAACAAATAGTTCATGATAAAGACAAGGTACCACTAAATCTTTTTTTTTTTTAACATAATGTTTTAGCTGACCTGCCTTTGACTCTGTTGTTGAACATCTTTGGCTACCCAGGAGCCTCCTGCATCTTCTATGGCCTAGACCCTCTGCAGAAATTTCCCTAGGTGAAAAAGCTCTGGTCATTAGCAAAATAAAAGAGTCCAACACCCTCTCTCTTCTCCCACCTGAAAGAGCTCTTGATGCTCACCACTATAATAAATTCTGAAGTACTGGGCATGCTCCTTGCCTTTCTGGAGCTCACAGTGTCACTGGAGATGTCACAGACATAGACTAATTGGACAAGACAATCTGTGAGACGTGACTGTGCAGCCCCGAGGCTGATACC